GGCTAATAATGTTACATTATCCTGAGACTCTACACCACTTGACGGTCAGCATATTAACGCTTGTAACATTTCAGCTGATGGGCAGAACCTGACTCTCCAGACAGCAGGAATAGCAGGTGGTAAGACAGAGGATTACCTAGAGCAAGTCATGAATGCGCTTCAGGATGTTGCCTCCGTCTATTCGACTTTCCATAAAATTCAACAGCAAATGGTGCTGTATACTTTTAATCTCTCTCTCCAGGCAACGCTAAGCGATCGAGCTCGGGTGAATAAGTGTGTGTCTCAGCAACTGGAAGAGACCCTAGGCAAGAAGCTAGTGCAGCTGAAGTGCCACTTACACCCTCTGGACGGCATGGCCACCCAGGCCAGGAAGGAGCTCAGAGCTTTAGACGTTGAGTGGGAGATTAAGGGTAATGTTTTTGGAAGTGAAGGCTGCGCAGCTAATTTGGTTTATGCTGTGTCTAAATTGAGGTAAATATAAAAAATTATTATTTTGTATATTCTATTCAAAATTTGGTTTTTAAGTGTTATGTTTTTTAATTGATTATAAATTTGAAATACTAAAATATTTTCTTTACATTTACAGATACAAAATGAAATCAGGAGACCCATCAGGGTTTAAGGCCTTCCTTGAGAGATCTAAGCTAAACCCAGGAGTCATAGTACGCTATGTGGGGAACAGACTCCATGTTCTGTTCCACCTAGCAGGGATCATTGTCCACCTGAAGGATATGCTATCCCAGTACTTGACTAAGTACTCAACTGCTATGGGGTTGCGATCGGTCATTATGAAGGATCTCGACAACCCCAACATTTTTTTGCAGTTGAGAGCTTTAGGTAAATATATATGTATTTTAAAATATTGTAGTGGTGAAATGTTAAACAATATCTCATGTAGTTTATCAATATTATACATGTGTGTATTGTTTCCTAAATTTTATTATATTTTATATGTTAGGTCTCTTCGGGAAGGTCTTGACTGGCCCCTGGATGACCACATTCTATAAGAATCCTGGTGGATTAAAGCATTTGGAAATGGTATGTGTTCATTGTAATTGTCTATAGCGATTAACCACCATTATAATTTTTAAAAATATTATGTGCCCATTAAAAAAGTCCATTATTTTCTTTTTATCACAGACTCCACTCATCAAAACATGCATGGTCACGTTGAAGGAGATTGCAGACAACCCAGCCTTGGTCCTCACCATCGACCATGATGTGTTCAACCACCAGCTGGAGGTGGATGATGTCCTGCTGAAGCTGAGGAGCAACTCCGAGGAAACATCAGAACGGTTTTTTTTTACAATCTCCTTACTAGCAAAATGTTTTTTAAATGTTTTAAGTAGGCAGCTGGGGGATTATACTGATGGTGAGCTGGCGGACCCCCAACCAGACCTGATGGCAAAGACTTCATCTGCTCCAGTTCACAACATCTTCTGTGAGCGTGTGTTGGGCATGGTGGATGCCCAGGTTAAGAGGGCACCCAACGCATCCATGGCTTTTGTTGATGCCAAGGTGAAGTCTCTTGCCAATAAGACAATGGAATGGTTGGTAGGGAAACCCAGTTCGGAACAGGTTAGGATGATTTCTTTTGCAATTAACTTTGCACGTAGGCAGGTTAAAGTTCTTAAGAGTAGGGATAAGTTAATGAGACAGGTGGTTATTTTTAGACAGACAGAATTAGCGCAGAAAAGGGATAAGACAGATAGAAATAAATTAGAAAGAAACATTAGAAACTGTCTGGAAACTGGTTTGGGGTTGGATGATGATGTTTTCTCTAGTCTTCTCCCAGGTACTAAAGAAAATTTTAATGAAATGTTTCAGAACCCTGTAGACTGCCTGCCCTTACCTATCAGGCATGTTTGGCATGTAGATGGAGAAGACAAGGTCTTTGAGGGGGAAGTAGTTGCAGTGGTAACTAAAAACAAAAAGAAGTGTTGTCGTGTAGTTTATAGTTTAGATGATATTCAGATTATTCCTGTTACTTTTTTAATTGCAGATGCCATAATGGGAGATTTTCATTTCAGTTAGATAATTTCAAAATTTGTTGCTGTTTGCTTTTGTCTATGGGTACATTAAAAAACATTTTGCTAATTTTTTCCTTTTCAGCATGCATTGTTCACATTTAATTTTAAAGTTACTGTTAATAATTTTTAGATTTTGTTAAGATTAGAATTGATTACTTTTTTTAATACTTTTCCCATTTGTATTCAGGTTATTTTGTTCACTTTTCATGCTTTTTATAGATTTCATTGTGTAAATACTTAAAAACAGTATGAACCTTTGTTTTTGTTGTTTAATTTTGAAGGGATATTTTTTTTAATACCTCCTTTATTCCATATTTCTGTTTCAGGCTCATATAACTTTTTATTCTAGTGTTTTTAATGCTGTTTGAATTAATTTAGAAAATTATAATTTGTAGACATGTATATAATGTATATGTATTTTTTTATCTTTTGTCTTGATAACTTTTTTAATACTTTTCAAACTTTTCTTTTTCAGACTGTTAACTTCTCTTTTAATCTTTTTATTAGTTACGGTACTGTTTGTATTTATTTAGAAAGTTATTTTGTGTAAATATTTAATGTAAGAACTCTTTTGAATTTTACTTTTTTAAAATACTTTTCACATGTTTATTTTCAGGCTGTTATCTTTTCTTTTAATGGTTGTATTATTACTGTTTGCATTTCTTTATAAAATTATTTTGAGTAAATATATTTATGTAAGAATTTTCATTTCTTTTCAATACTTTTCAATTTTTTATTTTCAGGCTGTTGTCTTAACCTTAATCTAGTATTAATTACTGTTTGCATCAATTAAGAAAATTATTTTGTGTAAACACTTAAATATGTATGTACTATTGATTTGCTTCTCACTTTAATTTTTTTTTTGAACTATTCCATTTGTCTTTTTCAGGACGTTTATTTTCTTTAAAAAAAAGGTAACTATTAAATTTCATATTACAGTACAAGTATTAATTATAATTAAGACATTGATTAAATATTTGTTGGGTATCATTACTTTATAATTATATGTATGAACGTCTGACTTTTTATTTTGGAATACATTTTAAAAAATTATTCCCCCCCCCCCCTTTTTATTTTATTTTCAGAATATTTCAAATTCTTCATTTCATCATTTCATACAGATAAGTGTTCATATTATTAGTATTAGTTAAACATTTATTGTCTGTAATTTATTTACAAACTGACTTTGCAACATTTTTTTTTGTTACAGTGTAACTGTTTTGACTCAGTATTTGAATACTTTATTAATATTTCTATTTTTATATTTAGGTCGTTATATTTGAATAATTTATTAATAACAGTTCTATACTTCTTTTCAGGACGTATTAAGTAGAAGCACTGTTTTATCTCATGCAATTAGTTTATATTAATATTATGGTTTTATTTTATAAAAATAAAATTAAATTTTTCATTATTTTTCTTTTCAGGTATTTTTAAATCCCTTACAGAACATAAAATGCCTATAATCAAATTATAATTTTTATGTGATATTCTTATTACTTGAAAATGGAATAAACATGCAATTTTTTTTGTTTTTCATGTAAAGAAATAATAATTTTTCCAAAAAAAAAAGGGTTTCTTTTACCAATTTTTTTTCACTTTCTCTGCAAAAATATTTTTTCAAAATAAATGTATCTTCTATAATGTGCAACTTTTGTTTTCATTGTGTTTTACATTGCATTGAGAGTGTGTGCTGAAAATTTGGTACCCTTATCTTTAAAAATAAAAAAGTTATGGGTCAAAAAGTGGAAAAAATTGAAAAGTGGGTCACAAGTTTTTTGGGTCAAATATATAGCATAAAAAATTTGACCAAAAAAATCATAACTCCAGTTCTATAAAAGATAGAAAGATAAAGTTGGTGTTGTTATAAAGCTTATGGCTAGCCCTTTAAAATGATGTATCATTCATGGCAATCGGACAATATTTAAATTTTGTGTCAAAGTACCTAACCAAGTAATGCACTAAGTATCTTGCAAAAGAAAAAAAATGAGAAAAATACTTGGGTATTTTACCAAAAAAAGTGGGGGGTTAAGCAATAAAGCATTCTAGAAGGAAGCAATGCTGAGAGGGAGAGAGAATTATGGTAATAAAAAATATGAATGCTAAAAAAATCATAGTGAGGGTGATACATTATTACGCTTAAGGCTGAGAGACCGATAGTTCACAAAGAAATAGACCCATCATCTTAATATAGAGCCGATATTGTGGTAGCCTAGCCTACTTCTCATGCAATACTAAATAATAATTCTGAAATACAACTTTTTTGACATAGGTCTTTTGAAGTCTACTGGCCTTATTTTATTTGATTTATATTTTAAATTTAGGCTTCAGGCTAGAGCTTTACAAGATGTTTAAGCAAGATAAGGAACTTTTTTCTTTGAAGAGTCGGAATCAAATAGACTAGTAATAGTAGTAATAATAGTATTACTAGTTAGTATATAGGCTGACTTGTTAATGTTCAAAGTCAAACACTTTATGTATCTGAGAGCATCTGAATATATTACTCTGCTCAGCATTTATTTATTATCTATGGATAAGCTGACTAATATATGTACAAATATTGGAATATCAAATGCAATGCAACTACTTTGCCGGCGACTACTTGTTACATGACATGTCTACCGCCGAAATAATATCTTCCACTTGTCGTCCGGCGGTCACGTGACATTCCTGCCGGATGTACATCTCCAGGACTATTTGTCCGGCACGCCGGATGTGTAGACACTTCGTTAAAAATTGTAGTAGGCGGTAATTTTTATTATTTTATATTTCAATGATGCAGTTCGTACGTCATACAGTGACTGCAGTCAACTAGGCTATCTATGTTAACTTAGGCGTCTTAGGCTGAGGCTATGTTTCAATTTAAATTTATTTGTTTTGATAATAAAGTATTTAACAAATGCCCCAGAAAAATGTGTTGCAAATCTGCTAGAACTAGTTATTTTTTTATTTCTTTACAAATATTTATCAGGGAAATTATGTTGGAAAAACAGTCTCTGAAAAGTAGCGATGAAATTCAAGAGAAAAGTAACAAAAGTACCATTAGCATAGGTATTATTGGATGCGGCAGACTTGGAAATCAGATCGCTCAAAGTCTTTTGACATATGGACAAATTGAAGCTAGTCATTTACAGATTTCAACAAGAAGACCAGAAACACTTGGTAAGCTTGATATAATATTTCTTATTTTACATTATCAGTTATAAGTGAAAAGTCAGTTAGGATTTATGTAATTAGATGATATTGAACATGCTCACAGTGAATCTAGGATCTATAAATATTTATCACTCTTCTCTATAAAAATAATAACTACTATTCTAAACTATTCTGTAAAATACATATTGTATTGCCTTTAACTTTATGATACGTTAAGCATGGCCTTATAGAATAGTCCTGTTACACACATTACAATGGATTGGAGGTTTTTAAAAAGTTGTGCACCACATATATCATCATTAAAAATATGTGGTAAGGGGCATATTTTAAAAAAAAAAATTTGATGACAATTTTCTGTGCTACCCAGTAGGCCTACTTGCAAATTCTCATTTTGTATCTCGGCACACTCAAGTAGCCCTATTAGGTACTTTTTTTTATAAAATTGTTTTACTTACTGATTATAATTATTTTTGTGGCTTAATTTGAAATGTCACCAAAAAAGTCCAACAGGACAAGAGAGAAGAGCAAGGGCAGGGATGCAGAGGATTAATGGATGAAATCGTGGAAGATATTGAATTTTCACAGGCTTTAGTGGCACCTCTCATGTCAGGGGTTTTCCTGTGAATTTTAAAAATAAAAAATACTATTTTAATATTGAAAAAAAATGACAAGCTTGGAAAAGAAGCCTAAATATATAAAATAATACTCTTTTGATTATTCAAATTCCAGGACATCTTCAACAGAAAGGAGTTTCATGCTTTTTCAACAACAAAAAGTTGGTTTCGTCTGTAGATTTGGTGTTCTTTTGTGTGCTTCCATCCCAAATGCCTTGTGTAGCTTATGAGGTTAAGGATTCCATTTCACCAACGCTGCTCACAGTGTGTCCATTCAGCAGCCTGTCCCCCAGGAAATTGCGACAAATGCTTGGAACTTCTAATATTATACGCCCTCAGCTGGTGTTTCCTGAACAAAATCCAAATCCAAATTATAACTTGGAGGTTGAGGTGGCACAAGCCTTCAAGAATAAACAGACAGTCATGGGAACATGTCCTCTTAGTGTCCCACAAGAAGGTATTAAATATAAATTAAATTTCAAGTCAGTTGTTTTTTTTTTTACACAATATATTAGTTTCATATTTTGTTCTAGGAGTACTTTCTACGTTTACAAAACAAAAAAACAGAATTTTATTCTGCTTGAAGCAGATTTAGAAAATCTCTTTCAATTGTCCATCTCAATAGACCAGGGCTTTTATCTATCACCATAATTTTTTTTAATGTTAGATAGAATAATTCAGCTGCTACCTTGTCTTATCAGGATTAACTGTTCACTCAGATGCAAGGCTGGTAGGAACTATTATTTTAGCAGTTTCCAACATGTGTAAACATAATGGACTTACAACTTCTCAAACTGTGGCCATCATCTCAAGAGCAGTATTTGGCGAAAGCAAGAAGAAACCCCTGGCCTTTGATCGTTTGACTGTTAAAGACTTTGGTGTTGCTAAGACAACAAATGGCTCTGACAAGTAAGAATCCAAATGCAAATTACTGACATAGTGGTAGCTTTGATTTTCCTTTTTAAAAATTGTTATAATTAATCATTCAAAGTAAATCATAGATATTTTCCAATTTAAGTTCAAAAACTAAACTCATACTATAGTACTAACTGCAAGCTGCTTTCGGGGCGCCAATGGACCACTATTGTTACAATATTGTGGAACATAAGCCTATTATTATTTTTCTTCATTAAGGTCTGGAAATTTTTTTGCTATTATCATCTTATTTAGTGTCAGTATCTTTATTTATCCTATAATAATTCTCCTCTCTGCAGATATTTTCCTCTGTATGACCTAGCAGATAGTCACGAGACAGAAACCACGTTGTTCAAAACATTGCAGGGAAATAAATCCATGCAAGAAGGGTTTGCTACAAGATACTGGCATGTGTTTGATGATTATATCTGCAAACAAACTTTTGGATACCTCACATAAACATTTGGTAACTTTGGGGCCCAATTATTCATGAGAATGGTGTCCAATGTGTGCTTTGGAGGCTCAATCTGTATTTTCGGTAAACAAGATCTGCCAGTAGTATCTGGCAGCCAAATCTAGCCATGCTAGTGCAATTTCAGTCATCTGAGTTTATTGTAGGAATAAATGAGAGGACAAGTGTTAATTTTCTTATTGTGTATCCAATTATCTATATCACATGTGATTTAATTGCTCTTTGTATTTATGTATCATATTTGTGGATCATGCTATTTCGTCCCAGTTGTATGTTACTTTAAGTAAATTTAAAGGAATTGCTTTTGGTGTCATAGAACTGATTCACTATTTGATTATATTATTTGTTTTCCTTTGTTATCCCATTTAGAATTCTTGCTTCTAACAGCATGACAAAACACATTTTAAAAAAATAATAATATAATAAACCTGAGCAAGTCTGAAATTTGTCATTTTAGTTCTTAATAATCTCTAATGAAATTTGTCTTTTTCGTTCTTAATTTGGTGAAATTTGTCTTTTTAGTTCTTAATAATCTTTGCTGAAATTTGTCTTTATAAACACTACTTATCTTTAGAATGTGTGCATGCATAATTTTGATATTAGTATTTTGAGATGTATTTTCAGTTTTTGTATTAGGAGTTAATGGCTCCATAAAGTTAAAAATCTGAAAAATTTGTAACCACTTTTGCAGATAAGTCTTAGAAAAATGACACTGCACTATAATTTACTTTTAGAACTAAAAATATTTTTTGCATGTAATTATCCTGTCTCTAAATTTTCCTTTCATTTCCTTCCATTAAGTCTCAAGGGGTCCTCAAAATTTTTAATCAGGGGGCTGGTTAACTGGCCCTGAGACAGTTGGGAAAGTTCTCTGTCCCTTACGTAGGGCCAGATTACAGTTTGTAACAAATATGAATGACTTCCTATGCACATATCTAATCTTTAGTGAACAAAATATAACTGGAAAAAATAAAATTCAATATTTAGAATGAAGAAAACCTAAATGAACATAAAGTTAATAGTATTGCAAAAAGGAAGTATGGGTCTGCTTTAGGTTAAATAGATGTCCAGTTGCATATTACCCAAACCCGTATGGTGACAAGGGGGCTGGATTAGGGACCCTTGGTGGGCCAGATCTTGCCTGTGGACCTTAGTTTGAGGATCCCTGCATCACTAAAATGTTCAGCAAAATATGTGGGATGCAATGTTTATTATGTTATCTATAATTCTCATTAGATCATCACAAATGCATTAGACCAAAAAATGGATCACCTTGTGACACAAATTCAACCAATGGTAGGGCAGGATGTCAACAATGAAACCAGTTCATCTTTATCAGGATGGTATTTAGTCTGGGTTTAAAATTTGGGATACATGTTACTACTGTTGTCAACACACACACTCACAAACATCATTTGTCATTTCAGTTGTTGGTCTTGTAAAACTATTCATTGCTCTGTTTCAGCATTCATTCCAGACAAAACAAAATTCTAAAAGTTTAAAATACCAACAAGTCAACATTCAAATCAACTTTATATCAAAACAATAACTTTGGTCTTTGGATTTTCTAAAATATTTGTTTTATTGCTTTATTTTACATTGCTTTTTGTATAAGTATGTTCCTTAACAAAACATGTCATGTAAAGAGTGATAGGGTCACTCGGTACCAGGAGCGGACTCATGTTTTATATAATGTATAACTACTGTTATCTCAACATGAAGGATTTACAATGAAAAGCTTACAACAAAAGTAGCCAGAAAAATACTTGTGAAACTCTTCACTGGATGAATCAATATATTATAATTTTAAGGTGGTCAGCTTAATATTTATATAATTACTTTGAGATGCCATGTTGTTCTATTACTATGAGCTTATTGATTGTACTGTGTAAATCTGTTTATTTTGGAATATTGGTGTTATGTTGCGTGGTTGGTTGTTTCTATGGGAATATTGGTGTTATGTTGCGTGGTTGGTTGTTTCTATGGGAATATTGGTGTTATGTTGCGTGGTTGGTTGTTTCTATGGGAATATTGGTGTTATGTTGCACGGTTGGTTGTTTCTATGGGAATATTGGTGTTATGTTGCATGGTTGGTTGCTTCTATGGGAATATTGGAGTTATGTTGTGTGGTTGATTGTTTCTATGGGAATATTGGTATGTTGCGTGGTTGGTTGTTTCTATGGGAATATTGGTGTCATGTTATGTGGTTTCTATGGGAATTTTGGTGGCGTGCTGTGTGGTTGGTTCTATTCTATGGGAACATTGGTGGTGAGTTGTGCGTTTCTGTTTTTATGGGAACATTGGTGGTGAGTTGTGCGTTTGTTTTTATGGGAACATTGGTGGTGAGTTGTGCGTTTCTGTTTTTATGGGAACATTGGTGGTGAGTTGTGCGTTTCTGTTTTTATGGTAACATTGGTGGTGAGTTGTGCGTTTCTGTTTCTATGGGAACATTGCTGGTGTTTTGTGCGGTTTTGTTTCTATGGGAATATTTCTGCAACTGCTCACCACAAGCATCTGTAAGCAGATTTCAACCAAAACAAATCTATCAATTCGTTTTCAGAAAGAAAACATGACTGCATATTTTGTGCTCAATGCACTGTGTATTTTAAGTACACATGCATTGCTTGTTAAATTATAATATGAATCTTGAATGCCTGTGTAGATAAACATCATGACTAAAGCTGGCGTTGAGAGTACAAACAATTTTTGTTTAATTTTTAAGAATAGTTATAGTTATACATGGCTTACATAGAAGTTGTTTACTTGTTGCAAAATAAATTTTTAATAACATCAATTGTCCTTCATAAGGGCCCCGAACTCTGTCAGCTGAATTTCCTTGGTGCAGGCCTGCTTTATGATTGCTATTACTTGATAATCTTTGTCTAAAAACCGTAGATGAATAAACTCTGACATAGCTGTTTAAATATCTATTATGGTTCACCTGTCCATTTCTAAGTGTTATCTAGATAACTTATGTTTACTACTGTACAAGACAAGATAGTGGATGAGATTTTTTTCCAGCTTTTTATTGTTATAAAATTGACAGATTACATAAACTGGTATGATACAGTTCAGCACCTTGGTGAAGCTCCATGTGCCAAATATAGCATCAAGAGTCATGTGATTCAAGCACACCAATGAAACAAAAGAACTATGTACAAGAGATGAATGAACAGAAATAAGGGCCACATATTGTTTGGCTATGGTGAAACTAGAATACATTTGAATAGTAACAATAAATAGCTTCAACATACACAACAAACCAACAGTAGAGTAATAAATTAGCAATACACAAGATTATCCAGTTGTAAAAAAACAAAAAAAAAACAACAGAAAGACACAGCTATTATTCATGCATTACATTTTAACATAGAAATATATGGTGTTTTAGAACAATGGGACTGAAGCCTATTTAATTCAGTGTCGAAACATAACCTGATAACAAGTTGAGTTGTATACAATACTTTAAACATATCTTTCAAATGCAGATTTTTGTCTTCTTTGTAGACCTGATTAAATTGTATTCAATTATTTGCATGCCTACTTTTTAATTACTAATGAAAAAATACATGACTAAAATGACTATCAAAAAACATCCAGAACTTTAAACTGATTTTATTTTGCATTTTTACAAACAAGAAATGAACCTGAGACAACACACATTTTTTTTTTTTGGTAGTTTTGTTGGAGGACAGAAACGTAGTCAAATTAAATATGTGTTTCTGATTCATTATGCCATTTCTATTTCCAACATTAGTTAAATGATTCAAAGCACTCGTACACACCTCCGTTTTCTATGATGTACTAAGCTAATCATTCTCACAAACCCTGACTCAGAACATGAACAATGTAGTGAGCTAACTACATACACTATTTTAAGATAAAACATCAGATATTTTTTTTAGCTGTACTTTTAAAAATGAATTCTACCAAGTTCATTGTTTACATACAGTGTTTTATATTTTAAAAAATCTGAAATAATTATAAAACGTCACATATTTTTTAAGCTCTACTTTTAGAAATGAATTCTCCTGAGTTCATTGTTTACATAAATGTTTCAAGTTTTTCAGGAAGCTATAAGCATACTTTCTCTTCACTTTTTTTTTCCTCTAAAATTTTTTTGTTTGTTGCTAAAACAGTTATTTGGGCAATATGACATTATCAATATCAGTTTATCTGGAAAATCACTTCTGGGAAATAGGACATTTAAAAAAAAGTCAAACAAAAAATAAAAACACTGGTATTTTTTAGCTCCAAACTCAAGGCACATAATTTGCATACATTTTTTAAAAAGTTGAAACACTAAAGGCAGTTAATTATGGGCCTATAATAAATTATACTGTCTTAAAACACTGCTCTACAAACTAAAACTCTTTATAAAGATTATTCTTTCTTTGTTAAAACAAATTGTAAAGAAACATTTTACATTCATTTTTCTTATTCAGAGTATTTTAAAGTTTTTTTGTTTTTTTTGCCAAATCAAAGGGCTTTAACTCTAGTAAAGATATATTTGCTAAATCCAGGGCACTAGGGATAAATTGTTTTATCACAGAATGTCACATCAGACAGCCTACATTCACTCTGTACAAGGGTATCATGTATTTTATACTATTATACAGTGGTTCTCAGAGAAGTTCTGTCTCACCCAAGAGCTTCACTTGTCTGGGGGCTTACATCAGAAAAAGCAAATAAACTGTGCTAAAGTATAATGATCTTCTAAATTCAGCTTTCAAAATTCTGATATATAACCAATGTCAAAGTGAGCTAAGCAGGCTAAACCATTTGAAGACAAATGAAAGTACTCTGAGCTTTAGCTTGAGGAGCTCCTAAAACTACCAACACAAACCACTGGGGCTGTGAGGGACGCCTGAACACACCTCATTTGGAGACACTATCTCCATATTTCTGGCCAGATGAAACACACTCAGAGCTTTTGCCACCTGCCTACAAACTGCAAAGGATGGCCAGTTTCTTTCGTCAAGGTATAAGTTACATTATAACATGGTCATAAATAATTCAACAAATAAAGACACTTTCAGAATGTAGCCTGTTTCAGCGTTGACCTTTTCCTAACCTTTTAGAGTGTAGCCAGTTTCAGCATTGAACTTATCCTCACCTTACACTACTTACAGACAAGTTTACATTTCAATTGAAATATTCTCTCCATTCGATCATACTTTATGATTTATGCCAAAGCTAGTTGAGAACCACTGTGTATGATGACCACTGATTTACACTGAAATATTATTCCATCCATTCATGGTACACCACAAACACTAGGTCCATTTTAGGACAAAAAGATTGGTGCTGCATTGGAAAATTTGTTTTTAAAAAAGTTGTTATGCTTTAAAACAAAAGTGTACATGAATAGAAACAGTACAAAACAGCAGTGTTGTAACGATGCAGCTGATTAATATCTTTTTCAAAACTAAAATTATTTAAGGCAAAATTTGCATAAAATATCTAAGTGTAAGCTTTTTTTTTTTTTAAGTGCATATTTGTTCAAATCATTGAAAACATTTTGTAAATAAATTTTTGGTTGGGGAATTTTAATTTTTTTTTCAAAATAATCAAATAAATAAAACATTATTACAATTTAAAAAAAAAAAAATAATTTAAAAAATTTTGTAAATAAATTTTTGGTTGCGGAATTTTAATTTTTTTTTAAAAAAAAACAAAAAAAAAAAACATTATTACAATTTAAAAAAAAAAAAAAAAAAAGAAGGTAGGACACGAATGTTAGAATAAGCCAGTTTAAAAAAAAGAATATATATATATAACCTTTCTGACATGTTTCATGTATTCCTTAAAATGATATAATTTAGCAAGCACATTTTAGATGCTCTGACCTGAAAGCTCCCATAAGGATTGATGAAGGCCATAATAAACACCAAAAATCCATCTCCTTTTATAACACACGTGATACAATTTATTCAAATAAACATATTTAAAAAATCCAACACTTTCTCCATCTATGATAAAATAATGCTCCGAACTGTCACTGGGGTGAAGGTAATATCCATTCAGGTTACAGAAAACAAAGACATTTAAAACAATTGTGCAGATTTTTAAAAATCAAACGTTTGATCATCATATTTCAATAATGCATCCAAAAAAAAACAAAAAAAACAAACCCCGCAGTAGTTGCTAAAAATGAAAGGCATTGAACATGAAATTGTATGTGTCATCAAAGCTTTGGCTTTTAAAATAGTGATGTATATTTGACATCAGGTGTTGCTGTCATTTCATGTAATAAAACTAGAATAAAAAGCCAAGTACGAGCCTCCCTAAGGATGAGGTGTCTTGGGTCTTGTTAGTTGAGAATGCTTTGTAATGCTACACCAGTCATAACAGTTTAAAAAGTTACACATTTAAAAATATGCAGGTCTACTTTGAAATTAGTTACAACATATTCAAGAGTAATGGATAATGGATACATGGTATTTCATAAGGATTGTATACATCTTTATAGAATATGTCTAAGTAGAAATTCATTTAGCCACTGTTGAGAGATATTTTAAAACATTTCTCAGATGATTATTATGATGATGAGGCTACAACCATCACACTGAACTATCAACAATAAGCTGACACTCATGCCCCTGTTTAATTTTCTTCATGCCATCTACCCACCATCAGGGCCAGCAACTGAGAACTGGACACGGTTTTCTACACACGGATTCTCACCCTTGGCTGCCAAAGTCACACAAACTACAAAACTGTCTCTAAATGTTGGACTGGTTGACCGGTTTCATCGTTCCTGTGAAACTACAAGGGCCAACTGAACTCTTTTCATCAGCGAGCTGTGTTCGGATATTGAAACATCCGTCTTTCTCTGTGGTTTACACAAGAACGTTATGTAGAGCCCAGTCTTGTGCACCGCAAGCAGCAAAATGAAACAGTCAAGCGATGCCAGAATGAGATGTGCTAATTTACCAGAACGACGATGACGGAGCTTTCTCACTTTACCCACTACACAAATCTTAACAGCTCTAATTAATGGTTTCATAATGTAAATGGTTTATCCTCATGTGGCCGTCTTAAAGTGTCCTTCTCGTAGAACTGACCGTGACCATCACTGTCTAAATAATAGTTCATGCGTCCAACTACTCATGCCACCCTCCCGTAAGCTTATGGAACATCTCTTCGTTCAGCGACTGGTTCTTATCCGTGGACCGCATTGACAGGAAGATGTATCCACCAATGAACTCATGGATGGTCTTACATGAGCACTCCATGGAGGCAAATGTCACTTTCTCTGTGTCAAAGTCAAGGATGACATTTTCCACTTCCCAGTTGACATGCCAGGATTGTAAGGTGTTGTATCGCCAGGTTTTTAGTGAGTCTCCAGTGTTCAAGTCCATACGAATGATTCTGTTAGAAGCCACGCCCATCAGTTCCTGTAAACATAGAGGATCAATATATAAATAAATGTGCGGACATTCCAAATAGAAAATTTTTTTATTTTAAATTCCTACATCTCTCAAGAATCTTGCACTATGCAGGATGTCTTCATGTTGATGTGGACTACTGTCACAATGGTAACAGGCTGTGGACAACTGTCATGAATGATAACTAGCTGCTGACAACTGTCAAAAGTGATAACAACCTACTATCCAAATATACATCACACTTACCTCTTTTCTGCTGTTGGCCATCTTGATACGAAAGTATGTAATGCCATACTCTGGTAAAGACTGCCACGACTTTATATATGCCAGCTTGGCCTCCAGTAGGGTCATCTCTTGGACACTGGCATGGGCTTCCATTATTTTCGTAACCAACTGGAAAATATTATTTCAATCTTATCAAATGTTTTTCTTATGTACTATAACACATTGTTAGTATTATTATTTGGTGGTTACATAGCTGTCATGCTAGGCTAAAATCTTGTTAGTAAGTCTCACTTAAAAATAATAACCAATCTAGACCACCAGAAGCTGAAACTCCGAATTGTGTTTTGCTTTGGTCCAAAGATTGACCTGAAACTCTGCTGACTTATGGTTATGCCTTATTACTTCAATAAAGGTGGAGATAAATATCTCAGGAGTCAAACAGTACATAATGTCTCAGGAAGTTAAGAGTAGATTATTGTCTGAGAAGGTTAAGTTAAGAGTAGATAATATCTGAGGAGGTTAAGAGTAGATGAATATCTGAGGTGTTAAGAATAGATATTATCTCAGGAGGTTAAGTTAAGAGTAGATAATGTCTCAGGAAGTTAAGAGTAGATTATTGTCTGAAGAGGTTAAGTTAAGAGTAGATAATATGTGAGGAGGTTAAGAGTAGATGAATATCTGAGGAGTTAAGAATAGATATTATCTCAGGAGGTTAAGTTAGGAGTAGATAATGTCTCAGGAAGTTTAAGAGTAGATAAATATCCTAAATATCTAAAGGGGTTAAGAATATTATTTTTAAAATGTGCTTTTTTTTTTTTTTAAATGTATTATCATTTCCTAATTTAATCCAACTCACAGATTTGGTCTTAATTTTTTTGAAAAACCTGGCAGCAATGTAGTCCTCAGGATTGATCTCACTGGGCGTTGAGTTGGAGGTAGTGGAAGAGTTAAGTGTAGGGGACACCACTGGGTGTTGCAGCCCTAAAAATGATTGGATGGCCTGGACCTCTGCCTCATACGAACTGTCTGCCATGGTTTTGCCCTTTGAGGCAAGCTTGCAGGCGGCCATCCAGCGACAGTACTGCTCTTCCTGGTAGGACATTGACGGGTAGAATTTTAAACATAGTTTGTTTAGTAATACATCAACTTAAACTTTCATTGTAAATAGAGAAAGACTGAATGTGATATTCTGTCTTATCCCAAAGGCTTTAAAGACTTTCAGCCACAGCTGTAAGATTTGGGTCTTATCCCAAAGGCTTTAAAGACTTTCAGCCACAACTGTAAGATTTGGGTCTTATCCCAAAGGCTTTAAAGACTTTCAGCCACAGACAGCTGTAAGATTTGGGTATTTTCAAAACTCGTTCTTGCACATGACAATGAAGAGGGGATGACACAATATTTATAGACTTTTTATTAAAAAATTAGAAAAATCATGAATTCTACTAGATAACCATTCCATGAATACTTTGGATTATATTGGAGTATATCATTTGCATTAAAAAGCATTTTAAAGTTGTTGAAAATTTATTATTGAGTAGAATGTTAAGTGAAAAATTTGACCGGGGNGGGGGGGGGGGCAAGGACACAAAATTCATGCCAAATAGAGCCTTGGGCGACCTTTGGTTTTCATTATATAATTACAACGCTAGATAGACATAATCGTTAACGATCGCAAGCTTAGCCTATCTATTGTTTAATGGTATCCCGGTATCCCGTACTAAAATGTCTTGACATAAGACTTGAAGGCCCCTGTTCTGCCTATCCATGCATTTTAAAACTTTGAAACGTGTTCTTATTGGGGTGTTCTTATTGGCGAAATTTAAATTTTTCATTTAAACGCAATTATCATTGGTCTGCTAATTTTAGATTTGACCCAGATTAACCAAAATTTGAGTGAATGTTGAGCACCTTTAGTTTGATAATACAGCAGGCCTACTACACAATTATCATATGAAACAGTGACACATGCACACAATTAAAACAAACTTATAATGGACATGTCACCATTACAATCTTTTTTCCCAAAATACTCTTTACCCTTTGCCTATCACAGAACTTATGAGCATGATGAAGATGAATCAAAACGAATTGATGAATTGAGTAAACATAGTGTTCCTCAAATTGGCCTAAATTACCTTCGGCAGAAACCAAATATCAACAGTTAACTTTTCTGTTTTGGCCGAAACAGAAGCTACGCCAAAAAATGATAAAATGGCCAAAACTGACAATGAAACGGGGTCAGCCTCTATTTTCAAATTAAATATATTTATTCTTCTTCTTACTCATTCACGGGAATCATCTCTTCCATCTTATTGTAATAATTTTTTTTTTTCACAATTCCTAATTTTAAAAAAATATATTTATGGAAATAGAAAAAATGTTAATATAACATTAAACAAATACATAGATGCTATTAAGATACTGACCACATCAAATCGTAGACATATCTCCGCCATGCCTTCGGGCTCTGGAACAAACAGCTTGATGCCGTACTTGTTGGCTGATAAGTTCACATCAGGCTGTGCTTCACATCCTGTAATAATATAAAATATAGATCAATGGGGTGTGCTTCTGTAACATATAACACACAGATCAATAGACTGTGCTTCTATAACACATAGATCAAGGAGATGTGCTTCTGTAACATATAGATCAACGAGATGTGCTTCTGTAACATATAGATCAGTGAGATGTTCTTCTGTGTCTTATAGATCAATGAGATGTGCTTCTGTAACATATAGACCAATAAGATGGGCTTCTGTAACATATAATATATAGATCAATGAGATGTGCTTCTGTAACATATAACATATAGACCAATGAGATGTGCTTCTGTAACATATAATATATAGATCAATGAGATGTGCTTCTGTAACATATAACATAGATCAATGGAATGTGCTTCTGTAACTGTAACATATAGACTAATGAGTTGAATGAGACATGCTTCTGTAACATATAACATATAGATCAATGGGATGTGCTTCTGGAACAAATAACAAATAGATCAATGGGATGTGGTTCTGTAACATATAACATATAGATCAATGAGATGTGCTTCTGTTAAAAATATCATTTGGATCAATTGGCTGTACTTCACATTCTGAAACCATATAATGTAGGCCTATAGATCAATGGTCTTAGGGACAAAGCCCGGAATCTTATTTAGATAAATTTGCATAATAAGCTATGAAGGTGTTTCGTTTTCTAACCCCCCACCCCCCCTTACCCCATTTTTTTCCTCCCACCTCCCCCCCCCCCCCCCCCCCCCCTCTTTTTT